GTTTCCTTGGCAAAACCAATTTTTCCATGTGAAAACAAGACAACCGTTCGCCCGAAATCTCGCATCAATTCAACGAAAATAAGACAAGAAATTTAGAATATAATATTTGCAATGCGACAAAACGAATTGACAAATGGGCTTGTTTTCCTCATTCGAGAAATTTGACAAGCTCGCCAATTTCGAAAACTGCCCTCGACACCGTTAGTAACTTACTTTTTACACACTCCCGAATTTTGCACGCAGCCCTTTCCATTTTTTTGTTGACAGTTTCCCCTCGTCCGTCCATTACTAACGTGACTCTCCCATCATAGCCCGCGCTTTCTTCTTTCTCGAAGATGAAATATGTGTTGTATTGGTGTAAAATGTCTAAAAGGAGGTAAACGGCCTCTTGCCTCCGAATGTCTTGCATCTTCCGCAGTGCCTTTTCTTTCGAGACTCCTTCCCGTAACATTTTCTCGACTTTTTCGTTCTCGCGCCGCTTGAGAAACCGTGTCACGTCGATCGATTCTTCGTTGTCGAAAGTCAGCGTGACGACTTTGATGAATTCGCTTGTTATCGTTGTTTTTCGCCGAGGTTTTGTCACAGTGATTCGACAATAGGGAGATAAAAGTGCAAGCGAGTACGCTTGGACGTCACACTGCGTATTCATATACCTACAGCGGACGCGTTTGTGGTTTGTGTTGCTCATGTGAGGCTAACTATAAAATAAGTTGCGGTTTTATAACGGGCTATTTTTAAGGCTTCTTTAACCGTCGAGTTGTTTTTCTATTTATTGTTTTTTTCACAAAAAAAAGGTTTTTCTAATTTCAACATGAAAAGCCGAATCCGAACTGAATTGAATCAAAGCAAACTTTCATTCAATTTTCTTTGCACGTTTGTGTTTTTCAGCTTTTGTGTTGAGCTTCTTTTTCTTCATTATCGCCTAACTTTATATTAAAAGTATGGGAGTATTGTAAATAAATTCGTGATTGGTGTTTATTTTTAAATGATAAAATTACAATTTTTTGTCTATTTTAAGGATAATCTATACCATTGGTACAAAAAGGTAATTGGGCACTGCAAATAAAATGATTAGGGTAAAATCGATATAATTATATGACAGTCGTTTTCCACTTTTCATAAAATAATAGAAAAAAAGATAATTCAAAATATTATATAATTTTTAATTGTTCTTTATTATATTATTATAGTTAACATTGAAAACAGTGATAAACAACCAAGTAAAGACTTTTTGTTTTTTGAACAATAAATTATAAGTAAATAACAAATGAGCATTGAACGAGATTAAATTGTGAAATTGGTTTGTTATGTTTATTAAAATGTATAGTATGTATTTTTAAGGTGGTGAATAATTTGAATGATAATTCGTATGTTCAAGTGAATTGTCAAACAGTAATTGAATTTTTTATTTTTGTTGTCGTTAAAAAGTATTTTAAACATGGAGTTAATTGGTCAATCAAATTCTCATATATATTGTTTATATTTAAATGTTATTTATTTTAGGGCTGTGAAAAATCTCTAAGATTTACCATAACTTATTTTAATTTTTATGTTTTTTCTTTGTTGTATGTCACTTTGATAATGTTGTGACACTTTATTGAATTGTTTTTAACTTAATAACTCCACAATTAAACATGTTTGTTGTGGTGATTACGAAACATAATATTCACTTAAAATATAAAGTGGTCATTATTTAAGTTGTTTAATTGAGTTGATTTCATTAAAAATCTATTATCCTTAATAGTAGATAATAGTCAAATTGTATATGAAAGAAGTTGTATAATAATTGAACATATTTTGTAATTTACAGTTGTTTTTAATGTAGAATTTCGGGATAAAAATAAAAGAAAAATAAAGTAAATAATAAAAAAGCATTTTTGGGATTGAGTAAAATGATTTCCCGAAATTTTAAGTAAATAAATGGAAAATATAATTAAGCAATATTGTCTTTAGATAAATTTATTTTTTGTACAAAAATATTACGAAAAATAACAGAGTTTATAAAGTTTGTCTTTTTGGGTGGCGTTGTATTATTGACAATGAATAATATTTAGTGTAAAAAAAGAATTAAACAAAAATAATTTAATTTTTTTGTTTAATTCTTTTAAAGTTGCCGATAATGGCTGTTCGGCGACTTTTGATATTTCTGAGAAGTCGGCGACTTTTTAAGTCCCTTCAAAAGTCGCCGACTTCTTTTAGAACTAAATAACTATTAACTTTAATAAATTATACCATATTCTTTATAGTCTCAAAAATGTGTAAAAACACAATAGTTGTTATAATTTGTTATATTATAATCATATAAATATAATTAAAAAATGATTTGAGAAGATATAATTGGGACGGTATTTTTTCTATTTTATTTTTTAATAATAATTATATTAAATTTATATGGTTTATTTTTTCAATATCTTTTACATGATAAATAGT